AGGCTACGTTAATTTGTTATAGCAGGCCAACTGACTAAGACACCCTAAGATATTTTAAAACTCACCAGCACCTGCTTTCTCCATCTGGACACTGACCATCTGGTGGTGCATCAGTTACTTGCAGAATGTCCTTGTGACAGTTAATTTTAGGTATTGGTTTGACTGGATTGATGGATGCCTAGATAGCTGGTAAAGAACTGTTCCTAAATATGACTGTGAGGGTCTTTTGAAGGACATTGGTGTGGTCAGTGGACTAAATAGAAAAGACACCCCCCTCAATGTGGGTGGGCACCATCCAGACAGCTAAAGGACCAGAACAAAATGGAACAAAAAGAAAGAATAAGGGTAAATTCTCTATCTTCCAGAGCTATCATGACCCTCTCCTCATGCCCTTGGACTTGAGAGGTCCAGGTTTTTTGATCTTTGGACTCGGAGACTTACACTAGCAGTCCTCTGGACTCTCAAACCTCCAGCCTCGAACTCAATTTACACCATGAACTTCCCTGGTTCTCAGGCCTTCCAACTTGCACTAAGTGGGGTGGCACCATAGCTCAAAGGAGTAGGGCGCAGGCCCCACGTGCTGGAGGTGGCGGGTTCAAACCCAGCCCAGGCCAAAAACTCCAACTTACACTAAGCCATGCTATCAGCTTCTCTGGTTCTCCAGCTTGCAGATGGCCTATTCTGGGGCTTCTTGGTATACATAATCATATGATCCCATTCCCATAAATCCCCTCTCATCTATCTATCTATCTATCTTATTGGTTCTTTCTCTGTGTAGAACCTTGACTAATATAGTCATTAATATTTACCCCAAATGTGGGTGAGACCTAAAACATAAATGACATCTCTAGCATCTCCCGATAATGCATTTCTTCATGGAGAATGGGATTTGCCCTGTTTTCTTGGTCGCACTGTGATGGCCAGAACTTCTGCTCTACAGGAAGACTTCCTGGGGACTGGATCTGAGTCTGATTCTGACATTTAGTAATTATAATTTTGAAGAACGTCTTAAGCAAATTTCCCTCAGAAAAATAATAAAGTTTCTAACCAAGACAATTGTTGTAAGGTATAAATGAGTTAACATAAGAAAAATGTATGAAAACCATCCAAAATGTTAACATTTATTAGTATTTGAATACATAAATGTTTTCAACTATAAATTTCATGTACACAGTTTTCCTCAGCGAGTTCCAATTGAGCAGACATTAATATATGAGTGACAGTTTCATTACCGAATTGATATTCTCACCCAAATTTCAAGTGCACTATCAAACCACATTTTAAACTCTGGAAAAAGAAAAATCAAGGCTGTTTGGCCCTTGCAGCCTTTCACAGTCTCCTAAGGCCGACATAACAAAGTACAGTCACGTGCCACTTAGCAAAGTTTAGGTCAGTGGCAGACTGCATATACAAAGGTGTATTATTTTGTTTGTTTTTGTTTGTTTGTTTTTGAGACCGAGCCTCAAGCTGTTGCCCTGGGTACAGTGCTGTGGCATCACAGCTCACAGCAACCTCCAATTCCTAGGCTTAAGGGATTCTCTTGCCTCAGCCTCCCAAGTAGCTGGGACTACAGGCACACAAAGGTATATTATTATAATACCATGTGTTTAAGGTACCTTTTCTATGTTTAGATATACAAATACCCACCATTGTTTCACAACTGCCTGCAGTATTCACTATAGCAAAATGCTGTACAAGCATGTGGCCTAGGAGCTCTAGGCCGCGTAGCCAAGGAGGGCAGCAGCTGTGCCACCTAGGTCTGTGTGTGCCCACCTCTGTGATGCTCATATAGTGACAAAGCTGCCTGCTGAGGCATTACTCAAAATGTGTTCCTGTTGTTAAGGGAGGCATGACTGTGCCTGCCACAAACTGAGTGGCCTAAACAAGAGAAATGTCTTCTCTCACAGGCCTGGAGGCTAGAAGTCTGAAATCAAATTGTCAGCAGGGCCCACTGGCTCTGAAGGCTCTAGGGAAGAGTCACTTCTTGCCTCTTCCAGCTTCTGGTGGCTCCCAGCAATCTCTGGCATTCTCTTCCTTGTGATGACACAACTCCGAATCTACCATAGTCTCCACATGGTATTCTCCTTTGTGTGTGTTTAAATCTCTTTTTCCTTACAAGGACTCAGTCACTGGATTCAGGGCCCACTCAAATCCAATGGGACCTTGGATTACTTGTGAAAAGATGGACCTTGATTACATGTGAAAAGATGCTACTTCCACATGAGGTCACATTCGCAGGTAGTGGGACATTAGGAACCCAACATCGTTTGGGGAAGCACAACTGAACCCACAATGGAGGCCCAGCCGCAAAGCAGAATATGTGACTAAACCTGTTTTTTCATGAAAATATAAACAGGGATAAGGGCCACACTGCTTCAGAAAGAGTTCAGTGTTGTCCTTCCAGAACCAATGAGGCTAGATGGTGACAACAGGCTGCAGACAAGTGGGCTACTTTTTCCAAGGTAGTGAGTAGGGACAGCCACAGCATTCACTTGACTTCCTATAACAATACATTTTATTCAAGGTGCTATAAAAAGATAAACTATAATTGTCAACATTGTATAACACTCCTAGATGTCTAATGAGAATCTCCAGACATGAATTTGAATAGCTATAAAAACCGACTTTTTCTATGAATAACCCTATGGCTACCTGAAAGCCATAACCAGGTCCTCCATGTCCACAGACAGTCCTGCCACCCACCAACCTGCGTCAAAGCAGACAAGCTCCTGCTAAGGGTTAGCCCAGTCCACTGCCTGGATGAAAAAGTTAATTTAATAAGCATGAGTCAGCTTGCAGTGTACCAGTGAGCAGCTGAGGGCCCAAAGGGAGACCCTGTGACCGTCTCTGAGGGTGAAATGTGCAGTCCATCTGACAGCGGAGACTCTCCCTGGGGTCCTCCCTATCATCTTCTGTTTCCTGGCTTTTCCATACTATGCCTTGTTCACTGCATGTGATATCATTTGCATTATAATGATCTAATTTCTTCTATTTTGTGGGTTTAGCCTGCATTTAAGGTTCACTGACATGGGTGCTGAGTCATATGCTCTGACTGTGGCCACTACCTAAAGTGTGTGACACTTCATACACACTTGGAAGGAGCTGGTAATGGGTGTGGGCAGTGAGGGAAAGGTAAGCAGACAGGCAGGTAAATAGCCATTTTAAAGACTAATCATTGAAAGGAAACTCCTTGTTGAGATAACTATTCCCAGAGGTGAATTCTGTTTATCTATTGGGATCTGGTGGCTTTTAGCATAAAGTTGTGTTAATTCAGAGGCTCAGTAATGCATAATGATTTTCCCCCCCGCTGAAATCTGATTGAAGTGCAATGAAAAGTAATTAAAATGGTAAATATGTGAACAAATCTAAATAAACAGTTGGTGCAGAAAACAAGAGTAAAATATTTTAAAATCTATGCACCTTTATAAATACATAATTAAAATTCACCAGCTAAATATTGTAAGTATATTCAAAGAGGCTTGCATTGTCCAGGATGAAAATAAAAGTATCAATTAACATTAGGGTGGGTTTTTTTGTTTGTTTGTTTTTGCAGTTTTTGGCCAGGGCCAGGTTTGAACCCGCCACCTCCGGTATGTGGGGCTGGCACCCTACTCCTTTGAGCCACAGGCACCACTCCCCCCCTCCCTTTTTTTTGAGACAGAGTCTCACTCTGTTGCCTAGCCCAGAATGCTGTGGCACCAGCCTAGCTCACAGCAACCTCAAACTCTGGGGCTCAAATGATCCTCCTGCCTTAGCCTCCCAAGTACGTGGGACTGCAGGCACCTACCACAACACCCAGCTAATATTTCTATTTTTAGTAGAGACGGGGTCTCACTCTTGCTTAGGCTGATCTTGAACTCCTGAGTTCAGGGAATCCACCTGCCTCAGCCTGCCAGAATGCTAGGATAATAGGTATGAGCCACCACACTCAGCCAACATTCAGTTTTGATAAGTCAAGAATGAATCTTTTAATTCCTAGGTGAATAAAAGAAGAGAAAAAGTGTACAACTTCTGAATGAAAAGAGGGAAAAAACAGAACAGAATTCTAGTAGAATCATTTTAATCTAACCCAAAAGAAAGCAAGAAAAAAGATAACAGAGCTTAAATAAGGAGTAAACAGAATACAGTGAATAACTTAAACCTAAAAGCTATTAGTAATTATACATTAAAAGGCTAAATGATCCTGTTAATATGTTTTCAGACTAGATTAAAACAACAGCTACCTGCTATTTCCAAGAGGTACATTCAAAACATAAGAATACATAAAAGGGACCTGGCTTGGTGGCCCCTATCTATAATCCCAACACTCTGGAAGGCTGAGGCAGGAGGCTCCCTTGAGTTCACAAGTTCAAAACCAGCCTGAGCCTCAATAGAGACCCTGTCTCTATTGAAAATAGAAAAATTAGAGGGTATTGTGGTGGGCTCCTGTAGTCCTGGCTACTCAGGAGGCTCAGGCAGGAGGATCACTTGAGCCCAGGAGTTTGAGGTTGCTGTGAACTAGGCTGATACTACAGCACTCTGGACTGGATAGCAGAATGAGACTCTATCTTGAAAAAAAAAATATATATATATATAGATATAGATATAGATATAGATATTAAAAGTAAAAAAAAGAAGCTTATGTTATTAATACTCGGGGGGGGGGAAGGCTAAGTAAGTAAAAGGCATTACTGGAGACAGAAGTTTACTTCATCAAGTTTCCATTGACCTGAAAGATATAATAATTCTGTATTTGTGTGTCCTCAAGTATATAAAACAAAATTCACAGAACTATAAGTAGAATAGATAACTCAATTATGTTATTAATTGATACAACAAGCAGACAAAAACTCATTAAGAGCACAGAAGATCTTAACAATGTATTACAAACTCAAAGGCTTGTGTGTCCACACAATACGTGTCCTTTCCAAAGAGCCTATGAACCTTTACCCCCTCAAACATCTGCTGGGCCATAAAGCAAATCTCAATACATTACAAAGAATAGCAATCATATAGATTATATTTCTGACCACAATATAATAACAAAAATATAACTAGGAAATTTGCATGTTTGGAACTTAAAAAATAAACCTCTACCCATGGGATCTGTTATGATCTCTCAATTTTCATACCCAACTTTGATTACTTGTGCTGTTTTATCTTGGCCAATCACATCAGAGGTTTATCAATTTTCAAAGTACCAACCTTGACTTTGTTAGTCTTCTTTATTGTGTTGCTTCCTGTTTCATTAATTTTTGCTCTCATCTTCATTATCTCCTTCAATTTTTAAAAAGACAGATTAGTCAATTTCATAATAATGTTCGTACAAAGTTTTTATAAAATACATGGTGCTTTTTCAATCCTTAAAGCAATCTTGTGAATGAGTCTTTTTCCTCATTTTGCAGATGGAAAATTATAGACAGGACCCAAAACAAATGCAAAATTATTGCATTGAGTAGAATACTGCCCTAAGGTTTGCATCCAGAAACTTTGCCTGTCTCCTCTAGGGGTCTACTCTGCCCACCCCAGGACTGCCTCTTAGCCTTTGAGATCTTAAGGAACACTCACCCAAGACAGCCATGGTTAAGATGGTGGAAGCCTGGCTCTCACCAGCTTTTCCTGAAGTAATCTCCAGCACATCTGAATATTGCAGGAAAACAGGGGAAGCAAAATGCATATAGCACAAGTGAGCAGACTCCCCAAGACACAGACGGAAGCGAGTGTAGCAGCTCACCCCACCCAACACACTTGGTCAGTGGACCAAAGCTGGAGGCTCCTCCTGTTGCTACCCCTTTTCCAACCTAACAAAGACAAAGTGATGCAACGAAGATACCACTGAGTAACCATAACCAAAAAATCCTATTCTTCATGTCTCACAACTCCTCTCAGGTTGTGTCTACATGTGGGGTGATCCTTGAAGGATTTTTTTTCTCCTTCAAGGATCTGATCCTTGAAGGACAGAGGCCACTTCACTGCCAGACTTATCTGATACATCCCTACACACACACTTCTCATTGCAAGTACTCTTCTAAGGGCCTTTATAAATATTAATTTTTCTAGCTCTCATTATAATATGAGGTTGCTTCTCTTCTTATCCTAACAAAAGACAAGCATAAAAAAAGGCTAGGCTGGACGTAATGGCTCACACCTGTAATCTCAGCACTTTGGAAGAGGAGTTTGAGACTAGCCTGGACAACATAGCAAGACCCCATCTCTAAAAATAATTTTTTTTAAAGCTGGGTGTGGTGGCACCTGTACTTGGAAGGCTGATGGGGTGAACCCAGGAGTTATAAGCAGCTATAACTGTACCACTGCACTTCAGCCTGGGCAACAGAGTAAGACCCTGTCTCTTAAAAAAGAAAAAATTTTTAAAGGTTTATTTACTTATCTAAAGTCATCTGAGAATAAGTCAAAGATTCCTCCTTTGAATGTGGGCTTTAAGGCAGAGAGACCATGCTGTACTCTGCTGCCCATCTATACAGGTTTCATACAGACTGCTCCCTGGGCATAGCCAATACTGTCCATGGCCTGAGAACTGCCAGGCCTAAATGGGAAGAGAATTGAGTTGAAGTACCGTATTCTTTCTTTTCCATGTCTCCAGGCCAAGGACCTTGGCTGAGGCTGGAGAAGAGGCATGAAGACTCCCCTCTCAGCCTAGGGAATGCACTGGGGCAGCTGTGCCCAGTTCCTTAAGGTCCCTGTGCAGACAGACTTCACATCCCCACTGTCTTCAGCTATCTGGTCCTCAAGTACTGATGGTGATCCCCTCATTTTTGAACTCCAGGAAGGAAAATTCTCCTGCATTGTATGACCAGTGTCCAATGCTATTTTGCTCCCAGGCTCTCCATACATGAAACAGACAAAATTATTTTCCAGGCTTTCACCTTCAGATGAATTTGCTAACAGATACAATGCACTCCCATGAAAGCCTTGTCCACACTCATTGTTTATTCAGGTCCTCCTTCATGTTGTCATCCCCTCCTGCTTATTTTCCCTCTTGAAAATTATTTTCTGAAAGAGGTTGTAGGTGGTCCTTAAACCACCTCTCACCCCTGGACCGCACACTTGAGCCTACTGGATCTTTGGGGGCTAAAGACTGGGAGACCGAGACCTCATGTCTGGGACCAGCCCAACTGGCTCATGCCTGGTAGTAGGGATACTTGAGGTCCTGCGCCCATTTTTGTGGCACCTGAAGAGATGGGGTAGTGTTTCCCAGCGCTCAGGGCACTGGGACACTCAGAGTACCCCTCCAAGCCATGGCCATCCTCTCCTTTGCTACTTGACCTGCATCTCCCCTGGAAGTAGATGGTGCCATTAGGTCCAGCTGGAGCTCAAGCAGGGCTATGTTAGGGGCACATGGAAACCTCAGATAACCTGTGATTATCTGAACAGTCACAGGTGGTCTCATCTACCTGTTCTCAAAGTTCTCATCTTTGGCAAATGGAAGACCCTACCAATACTCTGCAGCCCTTTTCTTTCCCACCAGGCACCAGCCCTGCCAGATACCGGCCTCACTGAAGGCTGCCTTTGCTCAGGCCATCCTATTTCCCACTCCTGTTGGGAAATGCAATTCATCATGCTGTCCAGATGTCACCATCACTGCCCTTTTCCTATTGGTCATGATCACTTTCCTGTGAGCACCTGCAAAGAGCAGTTCAGGGTGGTTTTGCTGTGGCTTTTCTCCCTTATTCATCCTCTCCTACCATGGTCTCCTCCTGGTGCCCTCCTCTCCCACTCATGGCCCAGGGTAGTGGGACTGTGCCCAGCAGCGCCTCAGTCAGTACTACCTGAATAAACCAGTCCAAGCTTGGGAGTAGGATCAGGCTTGCCAGCACCACATGGACGGAAGGACAGAGAGCAAGTGTGGTCACATTATTCCAAAGTAGAGTTGAGTGGCAGACGCTATCTTCCTTTCCCCCCTCCCAACTCCACCCTTTCCCCATCTATCAAAACTTACTATGGGCAGTGTTCTGGCAGAGAGGATAGGGGAAAGTTAGGAGGTGGGGTGGGGGAGTGATTACTTGGAACTGAGATGGAGGAGAGGCTGCAGCTATTGGTCATCACATGACACAACCATGGAGTAGATGCCTGAGGTAGGGTGGAGCAGGAAACCACAGGAGGCGAGAAACAAAGGTTAGAGACTTTAGAGGCTGGTGTATGGAAGGCATCACCTGTACATCATAGAAATTACCCAGGATTAAGACAGGACTGTCTTTGGAGAAAGTGACAGTAAGTCAGGAGCTAAACTCCTTCAGGCATGATGGGGAGTGACCCAGGATCTGCAGATGACTGCAGCAATAAAAGCTGGCAGTTGTTTAAAGTATGACAATTTCAAACTTCAGTGGGGAAGGGGGAAGAGTTTAGTAAGAGGGAATGACAGCGGGTCTCAAGGCAGCAATAGGATCATGCAGATTACCTATCCCACCTGGAAACATGGGACGCAACAGAAAAGGCAGCTACCACTTGAGAAAACCACAAAGGAGGCACTGCCCCCACAGGACAGCTAGTTTGCAGTTAGGCCAAGAGGTGAAAAGAATATAGGAAATTTTGCTAATGGTGGACTGTGAGTTCCACAGAATACAATGAAAATTCTTGAGTTACGGAGGGAAAAGAAAAATGGGCACGTCGTTGGGTTTGGTGGCACACAAATGAGGACAAAGATAAATAAGATTTGCAGCAATGCTCTCCTGGATAGACTGTGATAGTGAGGCTGACTCCGGTGGGTGGAGAAAGGATTTTGCCAGGAGTACAAAAGCTCTAGGGCTGTCTTTCATGGGCAGTGGGAGTAGTGGGGAGGTGTTACAACACTGGGGATATCATGAGAGCCCAGGTAAGAAACAGGGTGGGTTGTAGCAGTAGTGGAAGCTTAGTAGAAATAGTTGACTAAGAAATACATTTTTGAGATAAAGCTCAGAAAACTAGTTAATAGGTGGGCTGATAGGACAGGGGAAAGAGACTGAGAAAGAAATCAAGGATGATTCTACGTTTTAGTTAGAGCAACTGAAGACTGAGGAGGAATGGCTAAGGCTTGTATCATAAATTCATCTCACTGTGACCTGGGAAACTCTGTTTGGACCACAAGAGTGAAGAGAAAAGTAGCAGGCAAGTCCCTAAAAGAAGGGCAACAGCTGAATGTTACCTGGGGGGTCACTGTTGTCCTGCATATCCACTTTACTATTAACTGACAGCTCAGCACTACCCCTAAATGGACTTCTACTTGGACAAGATGGCTAAAAAACATACACGTATTATTTCACTTCCCAAACATTTATGACCACCTACTGTATGCCACTGGGTACTGGGAATAAAAAGATAAATAAGATAGCCCCTTGGAGTAGGGGCAAAACTTACAGGTGGGAGTTTTGAGACAAAGTGAGAATGATACTCCTAGAGAGGCATAGGAATCATCTACTAGAGAGACAGGAATCCACCTAGCTACCCCCTTGTTCTCTCAGACAGAGAAAGCAAACTCAGAATTTCGTCTCTACTACTATACTACCCACAATATTCTTGTTTACTCAACTCTCAGAAGAGTCTTTTATCCTTTGAGTCACCTATGTGAACTAAAATAAAATCTTAAGACTTTCCCCACTGCTGACTGGAGCCCCTCTTGGGCAAGGAGATTGGTAAAACTGAGTTCTATCCTTCAGAAAGGAGATCAGATGTGCCTTCATCATGTCCCCTCTGTGACCAGGCCTAAGGCTATGCAAGACAAACCAGGTCCTCAATATACACAACAAACCACATCAGCCTTGGCAAGTGTCTAGTAGTTTGTCTTGGATTAACAGACCCTTATCTCAACTCAAGCATTCCTTTTTGCTGACTCCTGGTCTATTAGACAGAGCCTAACTCATTCAGCCAATTGTCAATTGAAGAATCTTTAAACTCACCTATAACCTGAGGACTCCTGCTTTGAGATGTCCCACCTTTGGGGGCCACACCAATGTATGCCTTCCACATACTAACTTTTGACCTCACCTGTAATCCCTGTCTCCCTGAAATGTATAAAACCAAACTAACCCCACCACCAGGAGTCCACATGTTCAAGGCTTTCTGGGGTGTGGCTCCAGGTCATGGTCCTCAAATTTGGCTTAGAATAAACCTCTTTAAGTTATTTTACAGAGTATGGTTTCTTTTCCATTGACACCTAAACACTTTATAGTTATCAATATTTCATATTAAATTCTACCTGTGGACACACACACACTCCCCGCTCCCAGTATGAAAAGCACAAGTGATGACTTGTCCCCCCAAAATTCATGCTGTCTCCCCCCCTAGGGAGATACCATCTAACTTCTGGTGAAACCAGCTGAGCTCCTAGTCCAGGGGGTGGGGGGGTGGGTGAGTGAGTTCCTAGCTGCCCACTTTGGTTTGGGTCTGGTATAACTCACCCCACAACAATATGACACAGGGTATCCCTCTACCTAAAGTAAGTCACAGCCTCTTTTCATTTAAGGAATTTCTTTATTAAAATCCCACCTTACTTTGCCACAACTATCTGGCCTTCATGACAAAGAGAGAGTGAGCCCTGAACAAAGTATTCATAATATTTTACAAGACAATTTATACACGTACTGCATGAAATCTTTACAACAACGCATTCTAAAATAATCAAACATTTAACAGAATTATTTAGAAACATAAATTTCCTCTTCTCTTGAATTACTGGTAGCTACTTAGCTTCTTAGCTCCTAAAATGCCCTCTTTCCCAACATGTCTATTCATAGGCATCCCTGAATCAATTGTCATGTAAGGTGCAAGTTGAATGTGTCAAGATCCTCTCCATGGTAGAACCTTTTGTTATAGCATAAATGTGTGTATACCACCTTTCAGGTTCTCACTCATCATATACATGTATACGTCAATCATTGAGGGGGTTCTTTTGAAACTTTTATTAATAAAAAACTTTTTAATAGAAAAAGGTTCCATCCATTCAACTAGTACATCACAATATATATTCCAATCAATTTGCATTTTTTATGAGTGATTCTATCTGTTAGATTTATAACAGTCTGTTTTCTACTTTTCTCACAGGGAACTCCAAATTTTGTTTCAGAAATCATCATCACTGCTCCCCCACAATCCAATTATACCAAATTTATTATTTCAGATCATTATTATTAAATAAATTTATATTCCCTGAAGTCTATCTCTCCCTGAATCTGCCTTTTGGAGGCCCTTTTTAGATGTTTTTAATCCACTGACCAATGTATAATTGGGATTCAAAGCTACATCTGAATTTTCTACATTTTTATTCACATAATTTCTCCAAATATAAACTTTCTGATGGTGACTATGTGACTTATAATTGAAGTCCTTTCCTCAAATTGTGTTTTATGTCCAGAAATGTCTGCTTATTTTGAAGATTTTTTTCACATTCCATCACTTTGATAGGTTTTATCCCCAGTATGGATTATCTTATATTCTATAAGGGCTAAACTACTTTGACACTGGAGTCTACCTTCCTGGCTGTTTTAAAATCACACAGAGAAGATTATTCATGATGACTTATACTATGTAAAGTATAACCCATGAACAAGAACTTCAGACATTCTTATATTCATAAGGTTCACCTCACCTCCCATTTTCGATCCCTGAGACTTAATAAACTCAGCCTGCTACAGAGGCATCCTCATCCTGGTCCCATCCAGAGCACTCCCTCCCTTGCAGGCTCTCTGGGATGTCCCACTGTGACTTCCCACATTTGTCACATTTACAAACTCCTCTCCTGTATGGGTTCTTTTATGCTTGGTGAGATTTGATCTGATATTAAAAGCCTTACCACACTCATTACATCGGTATGGCTTCTTTCCAGTGTGGATCCTTTTATGTTGGTCAAAGACTGATCTATAATTGAAGGATTTCCCACACTCACAATTATAGGGCTGCTTCCCACGATGGACGCTTTTATGGTTGATAAGACTTGAGTGTGAGATGTATGCCTTCCCACACTCATCGCATTCATAGGGTTTCTCACCTGTGTGGATCCTTTTATGCACTGTGAGGCCTGAGCTGTTCCTGAATGCCTTTCCACACCTATCACATACATAGGGTTTCTCCCCCGTGTGGATCCTCTTGTGTTGTGAAAGGAGAGAGCTGTAACTGAAAGATTTCCCACATTCGACACACTTGAAAGGTTTCTCCCCAAGATGGACTCTTTTATGGCTTATAAGAGTTCTGCTTGAGAAAAAAGCTTTTCCACATTCATCACACGTATAGGGTGTCTTGCCAGGGTGGGTACTTTTATGGTTAATAAGGCTTGAATGCGAGATATAAGCTTTTCCACACACATCACATTCGTAGGGCTTCTCCCCAGTATGAATTCTTTTATGAACTTTAAGGCTTGAGTTGTTTCTGAAGACCTTCTCACACCTATCACATTCATAGGGCTTCTCTCTAGTGTGGACCCTTTTGTGTTGAGAAAGGAGTGAGGTGTAATTAAAAGATTTCTCACATACATCACATTTGTAGGGCTTCTCTCCAAGATGAACTCTTTTGTGGTTTATAAGAGTTCGGTATGTAATGAAAGCTTTCTCACACTCATCACACTTAAAGGGCTTCTCCCCAGGGTGTACACTTTTATGATTTATAAGGCTTGAGAGTGAGATGTAGGATTTGCCACATTCTTCACATTTGTAAGGTCTCTCTCCAGTATGGATTCGTTTATGTACTTTAAGGCCAGAATTATTTCTGAAAGCTTTTCCACACACATCACAGCCAAAAGGTTTTTCCCTTGTATGAATTCTTTTATGCTGCTCAAGAGCAGAGCTATAGTTAAAGGATTTTTCACAATAGCTACATTTATAGGGCTTCTCCCCAAGATGGATTCCTTTGTGATTTTTAAGGCTAGAGCGTGAGATATAGGCTTTCCCACACACATCACACTTGTATGGTTTTTCCCCAGTATGGAGCCTCCGGTGAACTTTGAGGCCTGCATTGTTTCTGAAAGTTTTCCCACATACGTCACATACATAAGGTCTCTCTCCAGTGTGAATAGTTCTATGCTGAAGGAGGAGTGAGTTATAACTAAAAGATTTCCCACACTCCTTACATTCATGGGCTTTCTTCCCAGGGTGAATGCTTTTATGGACTGCAAGGCCTGAGCTATAGCTGAACGCCTTGCCACACACATCGCACTTGTAAGGTTTCTCTCCTGTGTGAATCCGTTTATGGACTATGAGGCCTGAGCTGTTCCTAAAAGCCTTCCCACATTCATCACATTCGTAAGGTTTCTCTCCAGTGTGGATGACTTTGTGCTGAATGAGAAGAGAGCTATAGTTAAAAGATTTCTCACACTCATCACATTTATAGGGTTTATCTCCAAAGTGGATACTTTTATGATTGAGAAGCGTTCTACAAGTAATGAAGGCCTTTCCACACTCATCACATTCATAGGGCTTCTCACCAGTATGGATCCGTTTATGGACCCTGAGGCCAGAGCTGTTACTGAAGGTTTTCCCACAAATGTCACATTCATAGGGTTTCTCCCCTGTGTGGATCCGTTTGTGGACTCTGAGCCCAGAGCTGTTCCGGAAGGCCTTCCCACACTCACCACATTCATAGGGCTTCTCCCCAGTGTGGATTCTTTTGTGCTGGTCCAGAACAGAGCTATAATTGAAGGATTTTCCACACTCATCACACTTACAGTTCTTCTCCCCAGAATGGGTGCTTTTATGGTTTATAAGGCTGGAGTAGGACATGTATGCTTTCCCACATTCCTCACACTTGTACGGCTTTTCTCCAGTATGGATCCGCTTGTGGACCCGAAGGCTCGAGCTGCTCCGGAAGGTCCCTCCACAGTCATCACACTCATAGCGTTTTTCGCCTGTGTGCATAATTTTATGTTGAACAAGACGGGAATTATATTTGAAGGATTTCCCACACTCATCACATTTATGTGATTTCTTAACAGCACCAGTTTTCTCATGCAGACCAGTGTGAGAATTTCCATTAACGTTCTCCACACATTTGCCTTGTTCACTGCTTTTCTGCTCTGCAAGAACAGTCTGGGGTGTGACATGTTTTGGGCTCACCTGTGAGCTGTTCTCAGACACCTCATCTCCCTGCTCCGTCTTTATGTTTGCCATGTTCTTGGCTTTTCCAACTATTTCCCTGATGCCACCATTGTCATCCTTCATCCTGTTTCCTGCAGGCTTTTCCCATTGATTCTCCACTCTGTTATCACTTGTCTCACCAACCTCAGATTCCTGCACAGGATCCTTGTGAAGACTTTCCACTTTGAGCCACTTAGATTCTGTGTCTCCCACATTTTCATACTTTTCAGTTGGTTCCTTATTCTCAGTGCCCATCTTCAAATGTGACACTAAACCAAGAAAATGAAAAGGATACCTGTTTACTTTGTTTAGAAAAAAACTGGAAGAATCACATCAAAATTTACTAACTTGATAAATATTTACTGACTACATGCTATTATAGGTAACATTTTTAAGTACTGGGGATATAACAGTGAGCATGACAAAATTTCTGCCCCCATGGAGCTAATATTAAACTTCTAGAGCCCTGGATTTTTAATGGAACAAAGAGTATTTCTTTCTGTTTTTTTTTTTT